TGTCACAGAGCAATTCAGAAATGTTTAGCATTCTAAACTCTAAATGGTGGTTCCTGGATCTTATAAGTTGCCAGTTCATTCCTCTGTTTTGCAGACAATAAAATTGAAGCCCAGTAGAGGGGAGTGATTTGCCCAAAGCCACACAACTAGGTGGAGGCAGAGCGGGGAATAGGAGCCAGGTCATTTCTCTGTGGCTTTGGGTCATAACATACTCTTTAAAATGGCAGGTTTCCCTCTCCTTGTTTTTATTTGGCTGAGGTTAAAAAGAGATGTGCATTTTCAAGAGCCAACTGGTACAGCCACCTGGGCAGTTTAAAACTGAATCGTGGAGAGACCGTCTGATGGAAGTGGCTATCAGCTGTGCCATGAGCAGTCAGATAAATGGAAAAAAAATGGAGTCGGGGGGCCAGCCCAATGCCCCGCCGGGTGCTGAGGCCAGGGGCAAGAGGTTGTTGGGGGTGAGGGCCACGAGCAGGCTCCATCTCCCTTAGTTTCGTGTTCTGGGTCAAAGGCCTGGGGATGGTAAGCAGCAGCGAAGTGGTTGCTAGCGTGTTGGGAGAGAAATACTTTTAGAATGCTCAAGTGCCCTCAGTTTACAGCAAGATGTTTAGAGGTCCTGCTTTAATGAGGAGATGATGGGGCAAATGGGAGCTCCTAAGGCGTGTTGAGCAGATTGCTCTTTGGGAAATTACACTTGCCCCCCACTATCTTGTTTCCCTCATTTATTTACCTAACAATCTCGACAGAGGCCCAGGGCAGATGTTACTCGAAGCGCCCAGTTGGGAGTGCAGAGTCTGAATTTCGCAGGATCTCTGAAGTGTCTGTGTCTAGTAGCTTAGTTTCTTCTGAGCAACAACAATGTTTTTCCACCAGCGAAGCTGCCTTCTTTGAAGCACACTTGAAAGGAAACTTTCAAAGGCAGCATCAGGCTCCCCAAACACCTTTTTCCAAAGGAAGCAGCCTTCCTGCCATGGGCACTGGGCACTTTGAGGCCGAGGCTCTGGCTCAAAGGCGGAGGTTTGGTGGGACTGAGATGGAGGGAAGGATGGAAGGTGGCCTCAGTGATAACGGAGTGCCCTGAACTGCCAAAAGGAATTTTCTAGCCAATGAACTCCCTCCAGTTTGTGGTTGGTGACTGTCCTGATTGTTGAAGTCGCACATCTTGGTTTTCTTCCCTCCTTGGAACTGTTGTTTGAGTTGGATAAAATGCTGTTTCAACAGCTGCTCTAATCAGAAATGCTGTTGATCATTAACCCTGATGGTAGTTTTTCTTTCAAAAATACTTCTCGGAGTATATTCAAAATGTGGAAATTTGGCTTCTTGGTAGGAAGTCATTTAGTGAAGTTGCCTAACTGCTGAGTATCAGCTTCCCCATCTGAAAGATGGAGATTTTAATAAGCGCCTTCTGTGTAGGATGATTGTGCCACACTCACATGTAAAATGCTTGGAAGAGCTGGGGCTGTGGATGTTAGCTATTATTGTTTTCATTGTTGTTAAGAGTGGTTCTGTCCGGCCAACTTTCTGTTTCTAGAAGCTTCTTGCTATCACCTCTTTCCTCTTGCTATTACCACCCTCTGAGAAACATCGTGAAAAAAAATCATTCAGTGAAAAGTCTTCCTGTTCATTTTTTGACTGATCGGAGCTGTTCTCAGGGTGGGGTGGCCTATGCAGAGATGGGCAAGGCTCAGTCCCTGCTTCTATGTTTTAGGGAGACCAGGAGGGGTGATGGCACAGTGACAGCCAGGAGACATGCAGTTTGTATACCTTCTCCACCCCAACTCCTCCCAACCCCGGAAAAAACCCTAGATTCAAGGATGGGAAAGCTGTGGTTTATTATAATAGCTCTCCAAGTGTAAGACCACCCTGTTTACTCTGCCTGTCCCCCACTCTGTACAGTCGCGTCTTGCGGTAAACCCAAGTTCGAACTGCTACCCAGTGAGATCCCTCTTCACTGAGGATGAACCCAGGCCTCCAGAACATTTCATACCTGTGTGGAGCTGTTCCGATGGTCCTTGGTGTTTGTGGTGTGGGGAGGCAGGTGAAGGGGGCAGAAATTGCTTTCAGAGCCACACAGTAAGTGTGAGCCTGAGAGGGAACTTGCTCTGATGATGCTGCCTGGTCACCTGGCCGCCAGAATGCCAAGCCTTGAATCAGGTATGGCCACGCAAAATCCTGGCAGATCCCTTTTCCTCATAACAACAGGATGCTGAGCCCTGGCCAGGCCCCGAGAGAAGATCCTAACTCAGGGGAAGCCGGTGGCGGTGTGTTGACCACTGGGTGTGGGGAAGGGGAAGGGGAAGGGTCAGCTGCTTTTTCCTGTAACTACCAAGACCCTGACAGTTGGCCTGTCTGCTAGAGGAAGTAGACAGTAGCTGGGAACCCTTTCACAGCCACCTACCCCAGAGTGACCAGGCCGATTCAGGACTGCTGCCTGCCCTGCTGACTCTGAGGAGGGGGCCGCAGCCAGAAACTCACCGAGGCGGCTTGCGGTTGGTCTGGCTTGACAGCACTACCTCGCCCTGTGGGCCAAGGGCTGGGCTGCTGCCCACCCCACCTCCCAGTACTGTGTCAACACCTTATCCACCGTGGCCCATCCCACAGATGATGTTCACACTGGGGCAGGCCCAGGTCAGCCGCTGCGGGACACGCTCTGCACTATGAAAACTAAATGCAGGGAGGCCAGCGAGATTCTTCTGGCTAAACATTTATTGAGCACCTACTCTCCTCTAGGCATTGCTATGCTAGTTTTTTCAGGTAAGAGGCCTTGGACCAGTGAGCTTCCTAAGCAGTGAACCGAGTGTATTTCTGTTTGTTTTTAATGTATCTTTATCCTCTTACTGGGCATATAAACATGTGACAGTTGAGTGACCATGTTGCTCTATGCAGCATTAGACTGAGGGGCTGACTAGCCGGTTGTTTCTGGAACTCCTACCACATAGGAACCTGACCTTTTTTAAAAGATTTTATTTTAATTTTAGAGAGAGGGGAAGGGAGGGAGAAAGAGAGAGAGAGAAACATCGATGTGCGAGAGAAACATTGATCTGTTGCCTCTCACGCCCCCAAACGGGGACCTGGCCCGCAACCCAAGCTTGTGCCCTGACCAGGAATCAAACCAGTGACCTTTCAGTTTGCAGGACGATGCCCAGCCCACTGAGCCACACCAGCCAGGGCAGGACCCTGACATTTATACTTCATTCTCTTTCCCCACTGTCAGTCAGTTAGGGGGAGGAAAAAATGAACAGAAATGGGAAAGAAATCTTATTTTGGAGTCAATTCTTCCTACTTACCTATATTAATAATTGATACAATAATTAGTAATCTTCCCAGGTTCCTTACAATATGAATGACAGGCATGTAGTGGGTGGAGTCCAGGGATGCTGCTAAAAACCGGACAATGCACAGAACAGTCCCCACACAACAAAGAAGTATCCAGTCCCGAAAGTCAGTGGCACTGAGGTTGAAATGTGCGGATGTGGCCGTGGGCCCTGGTGACACTCCCCCACCCCCTGGAAGTTTGGAAGTGGAAACCATTATTGACACTCAGTGCCCTGGGATACAAGGGGCAGTCCTTTGCAACAAAGAATTGTTCCACCCCAAACACCACAGTGGGGGAAACCTTGACCCTGTTCACCCTTCAGGAGAATCTATTCCTGAGAATTCGGGTGTTCCAAGAGAGAGCAGCAGTCACTCGTCCCCACGCAGGAGGCCCCAGGCCCGGGAACAAACTCCCTGTGTCGGACCCGGCAGCCCCAGGACAGGGCTGCGAAAGCCTGTCGGGTTCCTGGTGATGGACAGGCTTCCTGGTGATGGGCCTGGTGATGGGCCTGTCGCTTCACAGACCTTCACAGACCGCAGGCCTCCTCCTCAGTGCTGGTTTGGGGCTGATCGGCCCCAGGAAGTCTCCACAGACACCCCCGCCCAGGTCTAGAAGTCCAGGGTCTGTTTGTAAGCCGACGGTGTTGTTTTTATTTTAAGTGCACAAGGATTTCTCATCCAGGATCATTTGACATGCAGATGATCACAGATTTTTAAAGGCTGTTGTCATGGTTTTGTCTCTGGAAGATTGCTATGTGCTGATGAGAGCTTTGAAGCCAGCTCTGGGGCCTCAGTCCTGGTGGCCTCGGGATTTAGAATGAGATAAGAAAAGCAATTGTGAGACTCGTCTGTATTGAGGCGAGGCCTTTCCCATCTGGGCTCAATTAGCCATTTAGCATCACTCTCTTCTAACCACTCCTGATCTGAGGTTCACATAGGACACTGGGGGCAAAAACAGTTGATGTTTTTCTAAATGTGATCCTGTCTGGAGTGTTAGGGGGTGGGGCAGAGAATTGATCTGCCTTTCTCTGGGGAGCTTCAGTGACGGATTAGGGATCTAAAGAGTTACCTCCTGAGCAGCTTTTTAGGGAAGGCAGTGGCTTTACCCTAAAAAAATGTCAGTGTTACTGGTGAGATTTCAAGCTGGGCAGCACACATGTAAGAGAGGCAGCAGTGAAAAGCGGGGATGCAGGAGACCCTGTAAGCCACATAACAGCTTGTGTGAGGCTGGCCCCAGGGGACCCGGGGGCTTCTGTCACCTCCCGATTTGTCTGAGAGCCTGTCTTGCTGTTGCCATTGGGACCCCTGGGCCTAACAGTCCCTTCCTCACTGCACTGCATTTCCCTGTTGTTGTAATAGGTGTTACTGGGGTGTGCAGTGGGTGGGATCATTCTTGTTTTGTATTGCTTTGTTTTTCATTAGGGCTTCTATCCTGAGGAGACAAACTATACTCGGGCCCAAACAGACCTCTGATAGGAAATTGGAGCTTCCCAAAACGTAGGCAGCGTGGCTGGGGGGAGTTGGAAGATTTCTTTGTGCCACAATTTAGCAAAGGCTCCTGAGGGTGGAAAAGATGGAGCCAGTGGGAGGGTCTGTGGTTGGGGGACTTTGCACTTCTACTTGGCCGACATGTTAGTGACTTGATTTATTTGCCTGAGCTTTATGAGGTCTCCTTCCTTTTGCAGACAGAGATCGCCAAGAGACTGAACACAATTTTAGCACAGATCATGCCTTTCCTGTCACAAGAGGTAAGACCTTTTTTTTGCTGTGTCTTCCTTTAATTTCCAAAACAGCCCACTGGCTGACAATGTCCCACTGGAGCCCCCGCCCCTGTTCATTTATACCAACTGAGGTTGAAGTTCACATCCTAGGGGTTTACAGAGCCTTCTCCAGCCGGTTCAGGGGTAGGGAGCCACATGGGAGGTTCAGTTTGCTTATTCTTCTGGTAGAACTAGTTCCTTGTCACTGCCTGAGTCCAGAGAGAAGGGTTCTAGCCTGCAACCGGGGTAGCCATGGTCAGTGGGTGCTTCTGTGCTCCCCATGGCCTATCCAGTTCAACCTCTGCTTCCCTGTGTCCCACACTCCATACCTGGACCTCTCTAGGAGCCAGGAAACCTGGCCAGTCAGTGCCGAGAGCCAGACCCTATGAGGGGAACCAATACCTAAAGGGAACTGTACCCTTCAGGACAGAGTATATTTGGCAAAGGCATGACTTTCTTGGTCACATCACCTTCTAAGTCACTTTCCAACAGGCCCCCTTACCTGACACAGGGGCTGAGCTAGTGGAAACATCTCCAAGGAGACTCCTTGGCACAGGGTAGTCGGGTGGGCTGTCTGAGAGGCCCCTTCCCATCCAGCAGAGCTCCCTCCAGCTGAGGCGGGCCCTGGCCCCCGCCCCTCTGTGGCAGGGCCCTTCTCAGCTCCCTCCTGGAGTCCTGGGTCTGAGTCAGAGTAGTGACCGTCAAATGATTGAATTCACGTAAAAAACAGGATATAGCAATGTTCTCGGAGCTTGTAGCCCAGTAGGGAAGACAGTTGCATACAAAGGGGGTGCTGCCTCAACGCTGAAGGATATGGATGCACTGAAAAATGGTTTGGGGGGAGGGGGAAGACTTTTTTTTTTTAAGAGTAGTTCAAATTCACAGCAAAACTGAGTGGAAAACACAGAGATTTCCCACAGCTGCCCCCACCAGAGTGGTGCATTCACTGCAGCTTGTGGACGCAACACGGACACGTCTCTGTTACCCAGAGTCAACTCATTGTTTACATTCGGGTTCATTTTGCCTCTTTTCTTTCTCTTTCTATCTAGACATATGCTTTTGTTTTCTCTATTTAGATATAGATTTGACTGCATTTAGGTACACACACTTTTCTTCTGAACCTTTGAGTGTAAGCTGCAGACATCCCAACAATGTGGACAGGGTCCTGCGTGCCTATGATGCTGTTATTGCACTTAGAGCATTAATAATCATTCAGTAATATGTTCTGATGTCCAGCTCATACTCAGTTGCATAGAAGGAAGTTTTTTGTATGTGTGCTGGAGGGCAGGTGATTGACTAATACCCATCTTTTGGCTCATTTATATTTTAACTTAAAACAATTTATAGGAAGTTTTGATTACAAAAGTAATACATGCTCATTGATAAAGGTTTAAAGAAGAAAGTAAAAATGCCCTTGCCCCCATGCCACCTGTTTGCTGTGCCAGCGTAGTGGGCCTCCTCTGCCTTCTGTTGGGGCTTGGCGACTGCCTGTCCCCAGTGGCCACTGCTAACCCCACCCTGTTCCCTCCAGCACCAGCAGCAGGTGGCGCAGGCTGTGGAACGAGCCAAGCAGGTCACCATGACAGAGCTGAATGCCATCATCGGGGTACGTGGACTCCCCAATCTGCCTCTCACCGTGTGTATAGCCCTTTTATTCCTCTCATTTATCATAACCAGAGATCGATTTTGATCTTAGCTGGCCTCAAAGAATGGCGGCCCTAGGACTCCAGCTCCTAAAGCTTTTCATGGGCTTGGATCCATCTGGGGCTCTCTCCCCATTGGGTCCCCAATTGCCTCCCAGTCCCCGAATTAATGGGGTGCCAGATATGTCTCAAATCTACCCCTACACTCATCATCCCTGTCCTCCCTCAACTTTCGGTGTTCCTACCATTGATGGGCATGGGCTCTGAGATCACCTGCAAGGCCAGGCTGACTGATGTGGATCCCCAGCCTCCTTCTCATGCCTCCCCAGGGGCCTGTCTGCTCTGGGCCTCCTCCCTGGCAAAGGCCTGCCCTTCTTTGGCCACCTGGGATCAGAACTGTCTCTGCTGTACTGTTGATGTGAAATGTGCTGTGGAATTTGGGGTTGGGCCTTGCTGTCCCATGCACTCAGCTTCCTGCCTGAGCAGTCCTTACATGTCCGAGTGAATTCTAGCCGGGGTACCTGGACAGCTCATCCTGACCTTACTAGGTCGAGGGAACAGGAAAAAATATCCCAGAGCTCTTTGTGAGGCCCACTTCTGGTCTGACCCCTCCTGAAAGGAGGAAGCCAGGTCTCTTCCCCAGCCTCTACCTGGTTCGTATCTATAAAGTACTTCTTGGATGCAAATAGCATCTTTCTCTTGTTTTCTACTTTGGTTGAGACTAAGGATGTTTAAGATAAACATCTGAGGAAAATAGCTCCTCAGTACGACTTTGGACACAGTTCTTACCTTGGAGTGTACCTGTTCACCTTTCGTCCCTAAAATGATAAAATGCAGGGGGTGGGTGAGATCATGGCTTCCCATCTGCGGACAGGTGGGTCAGGTTCCTGAGGGGCTCTGGAACAATGTGGATTCCAGGGAGTTAGCCACAGAGTTCTTTCCCATAGGTCTGGGGGTTGGACTGGCGTCTGTTTTTCTGGAGTTCACTAGATCATTCTGAAGGATAGTTAGGCTTGGGAAACAGCAGACTTGTTTGGCTGAAGTCCTGTTAGCCTGAACACTCTGGGATCCTGGTTTGTCTTTTTTTTTAATGTGAGGTCATTATATCAGGGTGGAACTGCAGGCCCCAGACTTTTCTGCTCGGTGGGGTAGATGGTGACACTTGGCTTTTCATTTCGCAGCAGAAATCTGGAGACTTGTGTTCTAGTTACAGCTCTTGCCATGTGACTTGGGCAGCCCATCTCTTCCTCCAGCCTCATTTTCTGCATCTTTAAAAGGAGAGGGTGGGGCAGCTCATCTCTCTGGGCCCGGAGTGCCCAGAGCCTGAGGTCAGAGTAACAGAGTGATGCTGGTGGGTCCCAACCTCCCATTGCGCCACTGGGACACGTGATGGTTCGCAGTCCTGAACCTCTGGTGTGAGCCCCATGGCAGCTGCTGAATGTTGCTGGGGACGGGTATGAAGCATCAGGCTGACCCTGGTAACACTGGCAGAGGAGCAGACCCACATCTGTTACGCGGGAAGGATGGTGAGGAGTCTGGAAGGGGGGCTGTGAGCAAGTGGTCAGGTTTTTAGCCATTGAATTTTGGGTGGCAGCACCCCCAGAGGGGAAATCATAATACTGTGAAGTTTGAAGTCTCCTTAGAATCATGTAGCCCAGTGGTTGGGGCCAGATGCTTTGTTGCGGGGGGTGAAGGGGTGCTGTCTTTTGCATTGTAGGGTGTTCAGCAGCAGTCTTGGCTTCTACCCAATAGATGCCAGAGGCAGCCCCCACCCACACTGTGACACCCAACAGTATCCCCAGACATTGCCGAGTGTCTGTCTCTAGGGGGCAGAGGGCTCCTGGTAGAGAACCACTGCTCTCTCCCAGGGCTGTCCAACCTTTTGGCGTCTCTGGGCCATACCGGAAGAAGAGTTGTCTTGGGACACACGTTAAATATACAAACACTAACAAAAACAAAAAAAAATCTCATAATGTTTTAAGTAAATTTATGATTTTGTGTTGTATTTAGGACCACATTCATAGCCGTCCTGAGCTGTGGGTTGGACACCTCTGATAGACAGCATCTTTGTTTTTAAGAGAGGAAAAGCAGCTCATGGACGGACGGTCACGTACTGTTGAGGAGCAAAGCCGGCCGAGGCCCAGGGGCCTCCTTCCAGCCCAGGGCTTGGCCCCACCCTGTGTCCTATGTCTCAGCGATTAGTTCCTGTCTCAGTGGCTCTGCTGACAGTGGTAGGAGGGGGACACAGGGGCGGCAAGTGCATTTTGAGTTCCGTCATGTGAAATTTCTCCTCTTCCGGCTCTTCATCCCCATCCACTTGGCAGGACAAGCCCTTCCCTCCAGGCAGTAGCCACAGTGGGGTCCCCTCTTCCCTTCTGTCTACCTCCTTGGGTACAAATCCTCTTACGAAAATATTTTTTTTAAGTTTTAGGAAAAGAGTGATACTGGGGAAGAAGCACTGCTTGGATTAGCTCCACTTCCTTTAAGTAGTATTTAGGAAGCTACAAGTTAGGTCAAGGCAGCTCCAGGCAGATATTGGAATTCAATTAAAGCCAACGAGTGGGGCCTGTGACCCCCATTTTCAAGGTAATTGCTTCTGCGGCTCTGAGTGAATGCCGCCGTCGCCCTGTCATTAAGCAGGCAGTCGTCTAATCGCTGCGCCTGACAGAGCCTCACAGGCAGGAATTACGGACAGCTGAGGCCCACTGCTGCGCTGGGAGCCAGGCTGGTCTGCACGCCAGCAGGGAGGCGGCCCATCTTGTCGGGGAGGGCTGGCGAGAGTGGGCTTGAGAAGGATGGCAGGGGGCAGGAGGTCGGAGGGCTGTGGGGGTGGTAGCTAAAGGGGTAGGTGTCTTGTGCCCAGCTGTAAAGGGCAGTGATGAAAGGGGCCTAGGAGGCTCTAAGTAGCAACCAGTGGCTGCGCCCATGGTGCTGTTGAATTAGCTGCTCTATGATGGCAATAGCCTGGCCCCCTGGTATGGAAGTTAGGAGGCTTTGGACAAGTTGCTTGATCCCTCCAGGCCTCAGTTTCCCCATTTGGGGAAAAGACTGAGAAGGGGTAGGCAAGTTTCATGTGATCCGCCTGCTTTAGTCTGTCATTGAGGGCTCTCTTGGGCGTGGAGTTAAAGGATTCTGAGGCCATGTCTTGGCTCAGCTCAGAGGGATGCGTTAGGTATTGTCTGGTGTGGGAATGTCTGTAGCTAGCAGCACACTTATTGCATGGATTGAGGCATTTCTAGGGTCCCCCCTTCCTGGTAAAAAAGGCTAGGGTCCAGCATGAGGTTGGTGAAGAGGAGAGGAACGGGGGCAGATCAAGGGAGCCCAGGCTTGCTGGCCCAGCCCACCCACTCTTCTGTGGGGCCACAGGGAACTCAAATGTCCCTCTAAGGAAGACAGACCCAAAGATGTTTCTATGAGCTGGGGCCTGGCAGGGCCCAGTTACTTCAGACCGCTTACTGTTACATGCCCTTTATTCTTGGATCCAAATTATTGGGGGATCCTTGGAGGGTCAGGATTACTGAGCATGAGTGGGGGAACTTTGTTCCTTGGAAGCAACTTGGAGAAGGCATCCCCAAGCACATCAAAGACTCTCTGAGCTGACGTTATATTGACCATTTACAAACCCTTTTTTACATCGCTCTGTGCAAGCCGAAGGTCGTTGAATCTGGAGAGTGGAGGAGCTCTCACCCCACTTGCCCACTGACAATTTGGTTTGCATTTCCTTCGAAGTTATTAGTGGAAGAGAGGTTATAAAGTGTAGATTTTTTTTTTTTTTTTTTTTTTTAAGCAGGAGGTGAGGAGGAGGAAGCTGGAGGTTTCATCTGTCTTGTCACAGGCTGGAGTGTTTGAAGCCCTACCTGAGGTTTCTTGCGTGCACTCCAGGATGTTGATGGACTGGATTCAGTTGATTGAATTTTACATGAGGGAGAAGGATGACGATGAGTGTTTCTTCGAATGCATCTGTTTCTTTCATCCAGGCAGCTGTGGTGGAGAGAAGTAACGCTGGGCTTGCGTCCTGGCTCTGGTTGCTTCTGCAAGAGTCCCGTAGCCACTCTGAGCCTGACCCATTTCTGAACTGGAATCAGAAGGGTTGTTGTGAGCTCTAAAAGCTTTGGGCCTGCCAGCCATTAGAAGCAAAGGAACTAGCAGAGGTCTGGGGCCGCTCTCCCTCTCCTTGGAGGACAGGAGGTGTTCATTCTATGTATTGAGGACCCTGCTTCCTTCGGTGGACATCCTCGGTGCGTCGTGGCTCTGGAAATGCTTAGAGAACTTCACTAAGTGTAACCCCAATCATGAACCCGAGAAGTGAAGCATTAAATCAGCTCACAGAGGCAGAGAGCATGATGTGCATAATCCAGTTATACATACTCTGCAAACGGGGCCTTCCCATCAGCGTCTCTTGTAAGTGGCCGTACCTCCTGAACCCCGGGCACTTGGCACACAGGTGGAGGGAGGATGGGGATACATGGACACCCCACAGGACAACTGTTAAAGGAAGGAGAAGAGCACTTACGGGTGGGCTTGGGTCCAGTTTCCTAGCCCATCTTTTGGGCTTGGAGGTGGAGGGAAGATGGATGACTTGCTTTCACATCATGGCTGGGGAAGCCCCAGTATTAGAAGGACCAGTAGAAACTGGAGGCAGGCTGCTGCGATGTGGTCAGCTCAGGCCCCTCCTCGGACTGTGGACTAGATTCTGTTTCTCCCCAGTTGAAAACACAATCAGTCACCCACTCACTGAGGTGTACTCTGTTTCAGCACATTGTCTTCTGAGGTCAGGGATAAACCACGGGGTAGAAAGGCAGCCTGAGGACGGCCGTGCCTTGCCTGCCTGCCTGGAGAGGGACTGGGGCTGACATGTGGGGATGGTGAGAGGAGGGTCACTGCCAATCGCCAGCTGGCTCCCCTGCCCACTGGGGAGAAAACATTGTCAGTAGACCCCCGCCCAACCAGCCCTTGGATCTGCTCCCACCCTGAGAGGGAAGCCTTGGAGTCTGGCTCTGATGTTCCTGATTCCTGGAGGCTGTCAGGCCACTCCTGACTGTGCCTTCAAACCGCTCAGGGGAGACCTTCTGGCTGGGCAGGGGTTGCTCTTATACTTGGAGATGAGAAGTACCTGGAACCATAAAAGTTTCCTGTCTTCTCTTGCAAAGAAGACACTCCTGCTTGACATGCTAATGGCAGATACCACCCGCAGTCTTGGAAGCGCAGCATCTTTGAAAGTCACTATTTCCCAGATTTCTGGTGCTGGTTCACTTGTTCGTGTTTCAGGGAAGTAGGAAACCCCACTGATGCTCCTTGTCCCAAATAACTGTTCAGCTGCATCTCCATGGACCTTGGAGAGGAGGCATGGATCTGGGAGGTGAAGGGTCACTTTTGGGCAGAGCCGCTCTTCCCAGCCTATCCATGTTTACCTTTTCGGAGCAAACGTGCTGGGCACCATGTTTGAGGTGCTGGGATGGATCAGACTAGGTCCCTGTTTTTCTGGAAGCCACAAATTGCCAAGCATCATGTAAAGATGAAAGAAATAGTTATATTTGCAGTCCAGTCATAGTTTTTGCTGATGTGAATTGAGCACCTCCTTTGCCTTTGCATGTAGTGAATGAAGCATGTGATTTCTTCCACAACCCAAAGAAATGGGCTGCATTCTGATTCCTGTTTTGTGGATGAGGAAACTGAGGCCCATAGAGGTCCTCTGACTTGTCTAATGTCTCAGCTGTTAAAGGAGAGCTGGGCGCCTACCTTAGCCTGTCTGACTCCAGAGTTGGAGCTGTCAGATCTCTTAGAAGGGGGAACTGATGGAGATGATGGAGGCTTCCAGAGGGGGTGGCCTGTGAACTGGGGAAAGATGAGCCTAGAAGGTTGAGTTGGAGGGACGGTAGATCTTACCTGGTAAGGTAAGAAGCAGGGTGTTCGGAATTACTCAGTGGAGTCTTTCCATGGGTACGAATCTTCAATAAGCGCTTTCAATAGAGAGAGAATTGTTAATGAAGGAGTCAGCCTTGTTCCCAGGCAGCAAAGCTGCATCTGTGAAGCCATTCTCCCTTCCTCTGTCTCTTCTCCCTCTAATGATCTTATTGGTCATACACTGTAAAGAGCAGATTAAATATCTCCATTCTTGCTTTCTAGGATTTTACTAAATAGTTAAACCTGGTAGATTTAGAGGGCCTACCAGCAAGTGGTCTAAAATCACAGGGTCCTAGCAGAGACTCATTTTAAAACTGAGTATTTAGATCCAACAATACCAGGGAATACTATGCAGTCATTAAAAGGGAAATTGGATTTGTTCATTACACTCTAAATTAAAATCCAGTTGGCCCTAGCTGGTGTGGCTCGGTTGGAGCGTCGTCCCATATACTGAAAGGCTGCAGGTTCCATTCCCGGTCAGGGCACATTCCCAGGCTGTGGGTTTGATTCCCTGTCGGGGCATGTATAGAAGGCAACCAGTCGATGTTTCTCTCTCTCTCTCTTCCTTTAAAAGCAGTGAAGAAAAATGTCCTTGCGTAAGGATTTTAAAAAATCCAATTATATAACAGTAAGGTTAACAAGAGCCCATTTGTATGAAAATACATTTAAATTTGTGGATTTCCATGAAGGAAAAATCTAGACAGATGAATAGTGTGGCTCTTCTAGGGAGTGGGATTGAAGGGTAAGATTTTTTTCAAAAAATTTTCTTAATCTACTTATTTGTATCTGACAGTGAGCATGTATTATTTTTGTAATGATATAAAAATTACATTTTCTTTTACATTCCAGTCCCAGAAAAGTCCGGCGGGGGGTTCGGATCTCTGCGCTGGGCGCCCGTGACTCCAGCTCCTGTGTCCCAGGGCTTGGGTCCTGCGGGGGCGTCTTGGGGCAGATCTGGGGTCAGGCAGCACTGGGCCAGGGCCTACCAGTAGCTTCTGTAAAGTGCCTGGCAGCAGACATCCCCGGTCGTGGCGGCAGGTCCCAGCCTTTCTCCTGGAGCAGAGAACCGAGCTCTCTGGGCCAGGCGTGCAGTGGGAGCTGCGGTTGCCATGAACTTTGAGGTGTGGGCCAGTTTGGCAGTTTACAGCTTAGCCGTGGGTCTCTAACTTCTGACCTCAAGTACTGCCTCCTGGAGCCCCACCTCCAACCAGAATGGTGGGCCTTGACTTTGTTCTGCCATCTGTCAGCAGTGGCCCAAAAACCTCAGTTAGCCTTGACAGACGAGCTTGTCAAACTTCTGTTCTTTGTACCCCCTCAAGAACTTTTTGGCTTTTTGCGGGGGGGGGGGGCATGCTCCTTAGGAATATTCTCTGGATGAGGTTGGTAGTTGACTGATTTGAGTCCAGATCCCACTTACTAGAGATGGGACTTCGCTGGTTACTGCCTGCCCCCTCCCACCTCCCAAGTGTCAGTTTGTCCTCTGTATAAGGGGCACAACCCCTCCTTTGCCAGGTGGTTGGAAGGGTCAGAGATAACGTTTGGAAATGCCCAGGCATTCATTAATGTTGGCTCCCTTCTCTTGTGCTAGTTGAGAAGAAATGTATGCACAGCATATTCAAGGCTTCAGCCACTACTAAGAAATACTTCTATCCCTATGAAGGATTTGGCACAATCTTAGAATGTTAAGATAAAGGGCATTTAGTTCTGGTTGCTTGGGATAGACCTATGGCTGCCCAAGCCAATTCCTTGAGTGGGGGAGGCAAGGGGGAAAGAGAGGACCCTGAAGCCAGTGCTGGGGTGGTATCTGGAGCAGTGGGCCTTAATCCTTCACTAGGGACTGTTATCATTGCTATTGATGGTATTACTGAGTTAATCGGGTCAAAGTTTTAGAAAGTAGGGGGTGCGGCATTGTAAGCCATCTGCTAAATGGTAGCTACTGTTAGGAGTAACCTCCTTGGGGTCACACAGCTGGTAAGTGCCCAGAGCTGGGGTTTGAATCCTAAACTATCTGTTTCGAAAAACTCTATTCTTCTTGTTACCTTCTTCACTGTTCTCATGTCCAGGGGCATTAGCTGTCATTTCACTGGCCCCAACCTCCTCTTGACCCTGGGACTTGGCTGCCGTAGCCACCCCCGCTCTCTAAGGCAAGCCTGGGTTCCTCGGTGTTAGGGAGCCTTCCTCGGGACGGACATGGGCTCAGGGTGCGGGGCGCTGGCTGCTAATGTTGGAGGCATGGAAGCGTGAGCAAACATGGAGTGCTAGGAGCTTAGAGATGGGCGTCCTCTGCTGAGAGGGAACCCTGATGACTCTGGTTTTTAAATGCATGCTTTATTTATCTTGGACTCTTAAACATACATGGAGAAATTCTGTCCTGAATTGGGTGGAGGGGATGGGCAGTGTTTGAAGACATAAATTCTTACCTAAATTGCAGTCCGTTAATAGACTTCCTTCATTAAGACAGCATGTGGACTGAGCTGGGGACAAAGGTTTTGGGGGGCTTTGTTCCCCTGCCGCCACATGAAGTAGCAAGAGGGATGGCCTGTGGCTTCCCCTGCCCTCTTCTGCATAGCTGTGCTCACCACCAACTTCATTGCAGCAACAGCAGCTCCAGGCGCAGCACCTCTCCCACGCCACGCACGGCCCCCCAGTCCAGTTGCCACCCCACCCATCAGGCCTCCAGCCTCCAGGGATCCCCCCAGTGACGGGGAGCAGCTCGGGGCTGCTGGCGCTCGGAGCCCTGGGCAGCCAGGCCCACCTGACGGTTAAGGACGAGAAGAACCATCATGAGCTGGACCACAGAGGTGCGGCCTGGAGCTGGGGCTGGGGACAGGGCTGGGCTGGGGGCAGGGGTCTCGTAGGCTCCACTGTAAGTGGACACAGAAAATGCTATCTCCCTAGGACAGGAGTTAGCAAAAGGTTTGGAACCATCTCTTAACCTCCTGGTGCATGGAAACCAGAGCCCCCAATCCCTGATCTGCACCTGGGATTCTCTGCCCTGGAAGACACCTTGTCCATTCAACCTGGAATACCCTCCCACCTTCGTGGCTACACCCTGCCTTTCCTTAGGGGCCAGCCCCAGTCCCATGCCTCCCTGGCTAGGCTGGGGTCTCTTACAAATTGCTCTAAGAGCTTGAGAGGTGGAGTCACAAGACTGAGCCCTTGGTTATTGTCGTCTCGTATCCTACTCCTGGAATGTTTTGTCCTCAGCAAGATCATTAGTCCTCTGAGGACCAGGGCCAAACTCCTGGGTGTTGAACCTAGCATGTGTGTCTCACCAACACAGGTACCTTAGAAAAGGTATGCGGTTGACACACAGTAAAGACTTGTGAGTTGACTGTCTTTTAAGTAGAGGTGGGAATCACACTACTCCCAAGCAGAGGGGTGCTTGGAAAGGCTCGGAATGAGGACTTGCCCCCACCCTTCCTTGGCCCTTACTGTGAGGATCCAGGAAGCCGCACGGAGTCGGCCGAAGCTGAGTACTGTTTGGCTGGGAAAGGGAAGGAGCTAGCTTCCTGGAGGACCCTTTCAAATACTGCCACCTTGTGTGGTCTGCCCTTAGGTATTTTTTTTCTAGCTTTATTGAGATATAATTGACACACCACATCATGTAACTTTAAAGGATTCAGGGTGATGTTTTGATTTGCCCTTAGGTATTTCCTAGGGCAGTGCCTTCCAAGGCAGCTGGCACCACACTCTTGGGCCCTGGGGGCCTGGAGGGTCACCATCCCGCCCTGGCTGGGGCCCCAGGGTGGCACCACATCGTGGGAACCAGGGACTGACTTTTCTGTCCCTGCAGCAGGTGGCGCTCCCTTCAGAGGAAGAGGCCTCCCCATGGCAGACAGGAGAGTTAGGTGCTGGTACTGACCAGGCAGATAATTAGAGGCCTCAGCCTCCGGGGGTTTCTGGCCAAAAAACAGAATGGTGTTCATTAAACAATAAAAAACACCACTCTCACAACTTCTTTTTTTAAAAAAATAATAATGTTCTTAATCCCAAATCCTATGGATGTTTTGCATAGCATGATCCTTCCCAAGCTTGTGGCTTAAAAACTGTTAACCGGCAGCCTTGGTGTCCTTGGTGTGTCCGGGAGAGCCAGGCCACAGGCCACCGCACCCAGGCCTGGTGGCTGGGGGAAGCATTGGAATGGGGGCAGTTAACTTCCAAGCTGAGAAGCGTCACCAAATGCCCTGCCTTGGCCGACTCGCAGTGAAGCCAGGCCTGCTGCTCATTTGAAAACCCATCAACTAATAAAGGATGAAAACTGACTTGATGAGACTGACTTTTTTCTTTTCTTTCTTTCCTTTTTTTTTTTTTTTTTTTTTTTGGTCTTTTTGTCTTGGGGGCCCTGACCTTCCTCCCCTCCTGGCCTTCGGTCTACAAAGAGAGAGAATCCAGTGCGGTAAGTGTGAGCACTCTGGAACCAACTGGGTGTATTTGGGATGCTGGGAAGAGGGGACCATGTGGTCTTTTGGCAGAAGCGGGGGTGTTGTCATGAACCAGGGGTTGTCACATGTTGAGGATGACCTTCATTTGGGGAAGCCTTCATCTCTCCAGGCTTTTGGTCCATCATTTGTCAAATGAAGAGCTTGGGCTAAATGAGCGCTCACTCCCTTTACAGGAGAGGTGATTAACCGGAGAGGTCAGCTGGCTGGCCCTGGGAACTCCAAGGGGTCTGTGGAGTGTCTGGGCTGAAGCCAGGGCTTAGGACCCAGGTGCCCACATCCTGGGCAGGGGTACTTCCCCATTCCCTAGATTGGCTGCCCTCATGCAATCCTGTGTCCTCATTTCCTCCAAACACCTGAGGTTTCTTCCTGTTCTGGGTTTAAGAAAGTGCTAGCAAGTGAACGTTAAGGCCAGGCTTGCTTGTGTGTCTGCCAGCTCTGAGATTTGTTGTAAATCTTTCTGATCACACTGAGGCTCAGAGGTTCTGTTTCAAGTGAATAAGCTCCTGAATAAGCACAGTGAAGTCTGGATAAAAAAAATCCTCCAGCGATTAGCAAAGCTATTTTATTCCTCGTCGCTGTCCTTGTATCTGGGGCTATCTAATCTGTTAGGATGGCCTTGGTTATTACCTCGTGTTAAGTAGGACTTGGAAGGTCAGGCACTTAACCAACCATCCGCCCTAGCTCCCCATTGCAGCCTGCTGCCCAGGCTGACTTTAAACCTCCCCGAGCAGCAGTGCTCCTGTTCTCTTTGGACTTGCCTACATGCTTTGAAATCCAGGTGCACATTTGGGCCCAGGAGTAGCTTGGTACACAGGAAATCACTGAAGCTGAAAATCCATTTTGATGGCTTTAGTGTTGGTCCTCAGAAGGTGGCATTTTTGGAGAGGAGGCTTGCCTCAGAGAAGGCCTAGACTGGATGCCTCAAGGGTTACGTTTCGTCCTGGCTTCATGGGACATTGGATGGCTCTCTTATCCTCTCCCAGGCTTAGTGTCTTTATCTCTAACATAGGCATCTTCCTGCCCAGCCAGCCTCTCGGCTTATTTAGGAAGACCGCCCCCCCCCACCTCCCACCCCCTGCTCAGAACAGGATGGAGGGTCTAGCGATGACCTGGTTATTGGACCTGCTGCAGAGCGACATGGGTCATTGAAACCCAACACCCTCCCTGTCTTCACGTCATTCTCATCCTCATTGCTATTTGCTCTTGGTTTTGTGCTCTAGTTTAAGAAAGCTTTCTGCTAAAAGAAACCCACGGGGGCCCCTGGAAGCCGAGTTCTTCACTCTGTGGCACTGGCCCATATCCATGCGCATCAGACTCGGGGGTGGGGGGTGGTGCAGGGCGCGGGGGGCAGGCGCGGGCCTCTGGAGAGTCCAGTGGGAATGAGTCAGGACGCCATTCTGAGGCTGGGTGGGCAGCTCGGGAGAGGCAGTAGGCTGTGCGCGTGTGGGGATGGTGTTGCAGGGGGTGTAGACTGAAGTAATCAGCCCTTTGGAAACCAGGTTGTCAACAGATGTGGCCCACGGCTGGAAGGACAGGCCTGTGCCCAGATGGGAGGGGGGATGGCTGGACGGGCTGGAAGCCGTCCCAGAGGGGTTAGTCTGGAGTCCAATTAGAGGTAGCTTCATTCATATTTCCTTGCCTAGCCGAAGCAATAAAAAATACTTAGTTTTTTGGCTGCCTGCCAGCCAGAGGCGGGCTGGATCGATGCCGCTAAATGCCTGACATGACTCTCCGGTAGCAGCAAGGGTTTTCAGCCTGACTGCATGAGAAGAAAGAGCTCGCTGTTCTCCGAGCTGCGCTTTGGGTCGCAAGGAGAAACACGAGCTGCCACACGCCCCCTCCTCCCAGCCCGCCCGCGAGGACAGGGCCTGGAAGCATTTCTGCTTAGCACGGGGTGGCCACCATCGGAGGAAAGGAAATGAAATGACGGTGATTTTTCTGCCAGGCTTGCAGCAGCTAATTGAATTGCGGCCGTGCGCGCATCGCCGCCACTCACACGGCTGTGGGGAAGGTTGAGCTGCAGTTCCATTATAACCTCCATTTTTTTCTTCAAGGCTTGATAACTCTGCCATTTTAATTTGCTTCAGGCAGAAACTTGGCAGGGAAGGGCTGCCCAGAAACCAGCTTAGCAAAGGAAATTAAGTTCTGCGGCTGGCTCCCCCAAACGCAGGCACTAACCCCCAGAAAGCGGGAGACAGAGGTGCAGGCTCATCCCTTGGTGCCCTCTTGTCAACACATGCCCCTCTGCACCATGCACCTCTTCACTGCATGGAGATGTCTATGGCCTGGTCTTGTCCTTCCTTGGACTGGAAGCTCCTGGAGAGCAGGGCTGTGCATGCTCCTTCCTGCATCCTGGGCCACCCCCCTAGGTCTGATGTAGGGCGGGTGCTCAGAACAGGGCTTGGTGGTGAGGAAGTGAGGAAAGGTTAGGGATTTGGACCAGACTAAACCACAACCACCCTGGGGGGTGGGGGCATTGGTTCTTAGTTCTCTGGGCACAGAGGTTTGCTGGCAAGTGCCACTCCCTACGTTCCAGTCTGGTGTTGACAGCCAGGTAATGGCCATTCCTAGCCACTGACATGACAGAGAGCCTGCGGGTCCTCTGTGGGTGGGGTGGCTCTCTCACCTGGGAAAAGCATCATTCCCAGGCTGCTTGGGAGGCTCTGCTGCCTCGGCTTTTGGCCCATCTTTTCTCTCCCCAGGCCTCGCGTTCCGAAGTGTTCTCATCCTTACTTGCTTCCTGTTTGAAGGGAGAAGTCATTAGGCTCCTCCAGGCCTGTGGAACCTGGCTTTCCTTCATGCTCCCTCCTGCTGGCGGGCGTTGGGCACACTGCCCAACTTCTTTCCCATTGTGACAGAGGGACAGGGAGGGTTAATGCTTTTTCCCATCTTTCGGAGGGAAGATGATGCTGTGTTTTCTGTCTCTTTATAACCCTGGTATTTCTCTAAAGCTGTCCCATCACTGAGAAAGCCTGTTGGCAGCCACCGGTCCTGTAGGGGTCAGTAGCTATAGTTTTTTGCACCTGGCCTCAGTTGGTCAGCCCTGATTCATCTTTCAAGACTGGGTGCAAATTTGGCTTATCCCTTCTTAGAACAAACAAGTGTAAGAGGCATGAGCTGGGGTGGAGGGGGGCAGGTGTGACTCCGCCCTGATGGAGTGGAGCATGCAGCCTCATGGGCCAGAAGGCACTGGCTCATTGCAAGGTTAATTACTTAGTAGCAGCAGCTTTGTGATGCTGCCAGAGCCACTCCCAGGAGGGAGTAGTCCCGGGAGTTAGGAAGGCTTTCCTGATGAGGCACCAATGCAGCCGCGACCTGTGGACATGAAGGACACCTCCAGTGACTTCCTCAGTCACCGCGCCTAGCTACAACTCTGTGTGTGAAATGTTTACCCTGAATCTGCTTCCTGCTTCCAGAATAACTCGGTGTCACCCTCGGAAAGCCTGCGGGCCACTGAGAAGCACCGGGGCTCTGCAGACTACAGCATGGAAGCCAAGAAGCGGAAGGCTGAGGAGAAGGACAGCCTGAGCCGATACGTGCGTCTGGGTGTGGTGGGCTCTGCTGGGGTTGTGTTGGGCAGGCTGGGACATGGGAGAACCCACAGGACCTGAGGTGTGGGTGAGGCACAGACATAGGTAGGGGTAGGGATAGGAGTGGTGGCAGCCTGGGAGGAGGAGGGAGGGATCTGGGGAGAACTGAACTGAGGGGGCACCTCCTACAGACAGGCCAACGACCCCAGCTGCCATCGCAGCCCTCCTGGAATGCCCAGTCTGCTCTGTGGCTTTGGACACGTTGCACAGCTGAAGTCTCATCAGCTGCATTTCTGGGCAACGAAGCGCATCTTCCTTCCCACACAGAATGTGGAAATGGTGAAGTGAGACTAGATCACTTCCTTGTAAATTATGGCAGAAAACAAAACTCACTGGGAAGCAGTGTCTGGCTCCAGAGAGACAAGTAAAAGGGGCCTAGAACTATAACGGGGCAGGTGGTGGTGAGGCTGCCTGTGGGTGTGGCAGCAGAGTGACCTCAGAGCTAGGAAACCGCTGAGGAGGAGGAGGGCTGACTTTGGTGGACCTTGGGGTTTGGCCCGGATTCAGATCCTGGCTGGTAGAAAGCAGGGTGAGGGTGGTTCATGCTCACTCTTGGGTGGGAAGGGTGTGGCCTCTTACTGGCTTCCCCTTTGGTTGCAGGACAGTGATGGGGACAAGAGTGACGACCTGGTGGTGGATGTTTCCAATGAGGTAAGGGTAGACCCGGGTCGCAGAGTGCCTATTGGTTTGGGAGGTTTGAGAGTGTTTCTTCCCTAAGTGGGAGCTCTTGTGTCTCAGCTGCTCTGCTAACATTACCAGCAGCGTGAGCAGGGCGAAGAGGCCTCTGAAGTTGGGGCATCAGGGTGGTGGGGAAGAGCTGGGCAGGACGTTGCTGCGTGGTGGCTGGGCAGGCATGGGCAGCAAGAGGCTCCTAGGACAGGTCTCCAGAGAGAGACCCTCCGAGATCCCAGAGCAGGGCCAGCACCTGTTCCTCATGTTCCTCCTATTCCTCCTGGTGAGCTGTGTTCTTCCCACCACCCTGGGGCCTGAAGGTGGGGGTTCTGAACCCCCTGGGTCAGGCTCAGCAGAGAAGGAGGAGCTGAAGCAGATCTCCCTGTGGCCCAGCGGCCCAGATTTGAATCCTGGACTGTGTGTGATTTTGGTCTGGTCACCCCACGCAGGCCTTGGTCTCTGCATCTTGCGGGGTGGGGGGGCGGTCTAAGGGCTGCGACTAGATCATTAAGAACTAGCCACCCTCACTTTGGGGACCAATCTATTTCAGCCAAGCTCCTTTTTATATCACCCGGGCCTACTCCCTTTCCATCCCAGAGCAGGAAGGAGTCTAGGCTGGTTGTTGCTTTGAGTACAGTTCTGCATCACTTGTGTTTTTAGGACCCAGCAACACCCCGGGTCAGCCCTGCCCATTCCCCTCCTGAAAATGGGCTGGACAAAGCCCGTGGCCTGAAAAAGGATGCCCCCACCAGCCCCGCCTCGGTGGCCTCCTCCAGCAGCACACCTTCCTCCAAGACCAAAGACCTTGGTCATGTATGTGGGGTCTGCCCTGGTGCTGCAGAGGCTGGGAGAGGGTTGGGGGAGGGCTGGGGAGGGTGGGGATGGAGGGGAAAGGCTCTGGAAAAGAGACTGGAGCTGGGGTGGTGCTGACCAGAGGGCAGAGTGGTGTAGAATGAACGTGGGTTGGGGTTTGGCTCACGTTCAAATGCTGGCTTTACCACTTATTGGCTGGGCCCTGCGCTTAACTAGTTTACGTTTCTGAGCCTTGGTTACAGCATCTATAAAGTCAGAATAGTCATCGTAGTCTGTACTGAACAAGGTTGGGCAAGAGTTGAGTGGCTGTTGAGCAGAAGATTCAAAACTGGGGTTGGGGCTGGCCCCATGTTTCATGTGGTGACCAGCACTGGGCTTGCGGCCAGCTCCCAGTGCCCAGCACTTGGGATAAAGAGCTTCATGGCTCCCCTTGGTCTCTGTGTCTTCTCCTTTCAGAATGACAAATCCTCCACGCCTGGGCTCAAGTCCAACACACCAACCCCGAGGAACGATGCCCCAACTCCAGGCACCAGCACGACCCCAGGGCTCCGGTCGATGCCAGGCAAACCTCCAGGCATGGACCCAATAGGTATCATGGGTAGGCACGATGGGGCTGGGGTGCCTGTGGTTGGGGGGTGGTCCTGCCCAGGCCAGAGCTGCAGCTACGCAAATGCGCTGAGCCTCTCCCAGGGGCTGCCTTTGGGAGGACTTCATGGGCAGGTTTCAGGAGGAGATGGACCGGTGTTAGCACTGATTTCAGCACTGATTTAGGGCTTAGTGGGTCCACTGCTGGGGTAGGCTTGTGCAAGCCCAGTGCCCACGTCAGGACACCCACGGTTTGTTCCTGCCTCTGTTTTAGTTCTGTGAGGCTCTGAACGACCCCCTTCTTTGGGCTTCCATGACCTGCTCTATAAAAAAAAGAGTGAGCACAACTCTCAGCTTGAACCTTTTCAAGCTATGTAGATGGGGGTGCCAGTTAGAAGGGCTCACTCTGAGGGGATTGCTGTTAGGTGGCCCGGTGGCCTGGGTTCTGTCCTGGAAGGAGGGGGGCCTACTCCCCGTGATGGCCGCCTCCCACTGATGCCCACCTCCTTGCAGCTTCAGCCCTGCGCACGCCCATCTCCATCACCAGCTCCTACGCGGCGCCCTTTGCCATGATGAGCCACCATGAGATGAACGGCTCCCTCACCAGCCCCAGTGCCTACGCCGGCCTCCACAACATCCCGCCCCAGATGAGCGCGGCTGCCGCTGCCGCCGCCGCTGCCTATGGCCGATCGCCAATGGTGAGCTTTGGAGCTGTACGTAGACTTTTTGGCTCCTTTTTGGGGGACTGGCAAGGAGTAGGGAGCTGGTGAGGGTTAGGGGGCACTTCCTATACACCAAAGGGGACCTCAGGGTCTCATGACCAGGCAATCAGCTGCCTTTGGGGTAAAGTGCTCCTTAGAAACAACTTGAGGATCAGTAGACGTGAACCCCACCCCTGCCTGTCCATCGTTGCCAAGTTCCCTCACATGATGCGGCCTCCCTGACTGCCCCCTTCTGTCTGGGAAGTGGAGCTGATCCCTGTCTGCCTGGGCTCCGCTGGGATGGGATCCCAAGATCAGTCAGGTGACTTCCAGGGAGCAAGGGTTTAGCAAACTGGGCTGCATATTATACCAAGAATTGTCCGTTGGCGTTGAGCAGTTCGGACTGGGTTGGTAGAGAGAGGGGTGATTTTCAGGAGAGAGTTTCGTGATTTCCTGTACCTGAGTGGCTTCCTCTTCATGTGACAAGCCCGCTGGGACACTGTGGAGGGACTGAAGTGGGGCGGTGAAAATGGGGGATACCGGGTTCAGAGTTGGGAGGTCTGGACTGTCACCCCATCCCTGCCCTTATCCTGGGCGCGGCACTGGGCCCTCCTGGGCCTGTTTGCTCTGAATCAGTGAGGCCTGCTCTGCTTGCCTGTCCCGTGGGCTCTGAAGAAGCAGTGCTGTGCAGGCAGGGCGCAGGGAGTAGAGGAGGAGGAGGAGGGGCCAGGGTGGGGGGATATATGGTGTATCTCTCACGAAGGGCTGGCCTTGTCTTGCCTTACAGGTTGGTTTTGACCCTCACCCCCCTATGCGGGCCACGGGCCTGCCCTCAAGCCTCACCTCCATTTCTGGTGGAAAACCGTAAGCTCTGGCTGTACTTACTGCATGCTCCTTGGGGAGGGCAGAGGAGAGTACAAACCCCCTTCCCCATCCCCTGCCCTGGTGGGCCTCCTTTGAGAGGTTCTTAAAGGTCAGGCTGCAGCCCCTTGTCCACGCTCCTGATCAGCCCAGCGTTCTCTATATAAGGGGAACATAGAGGGGTCCCAGGGCATGATCACTGGATTCTGGAAGGGGAGGAATATGGCAGAGGTTGGAGCCTCCTAATCAAATGTCACAGTTGCCCTGGGGTTTCTTTGGGTTCTATCTATTTGAAACATCCCCAGCTGACACCCACTGTAGCTTAAAACAGTAGGCAGACCATGCCTGCTCACCTCCTAGCTCTGATGCACACTTTATGATTTATTTGGGGATGTAAACAGATCCCCACCCCAATATCACTGGCTTCTGAAGGAGGGGGAGGCATCCTACTGGGTCCTTTTGAGGGGTGGTCGGTGTGTTAGGGGTGTTGTAGATAACCCCTATTTGTAGACTGTGGAAGAGGCCACTCGAAGGCACAGGTGGGGCTAGTGACCTAGTTTGGAGCAAGGATGTATAAGGAGCAGAAGTCAAGGCAGGAATATTAATCGTTCCCCACTCTGGTGGGGCCTGGCCAAGGGAGTTGGGGTTACCAGGTTCCCTAAGATTTTGGGGGATGCTGGAGGCAGAGAGGCCAGTTGGGGTGATGCCGGTGGAACTGGGCAGGACATGGGGGCACTGGGGAGGACTGGGGACAGCAGAAGTGACAGTTCTCACCCTTTCAGAGCATACTCTTTCCACGTGAGCGCTGATGGGCAGATGCAGCCTGTGCCCTTCCCGCACGATGCCCTGGCAGGCCCTGGCATCCCAAGACATGCCCGGCAGATCAACACACTCAGCCATGGGGAGGTGGTATGTGCGGTGACCATCAGCAACCCCACGCGGCACGTCTACACAGGTGGCAAGGGTTGTGTGAAAATCTGGGACATCAGCCAGCCAGGCAGCAAGAGCCCCATCTCCCAGCTGGACTGCCTGGTGAGGATTCCAGGGCTGTGGGCACTTAGATGGGGCGCGGGGGAGCCGGGGCCGGGGGGAGCCCTGTCAACCTGGCCCCGCTCAGCCGGCTCACCTGCCCGAGCCCTGGTTTTACTAACTGGAGATGATACTGACCTCCTGGGGTTTGTGGAAAAACGCAGGAAAAGATCGAAGGGCTGTGAATGAGCTGTGGAGATGGCCGGGCAGGATGTGGACAGGGGTGGCAGGGGTGCTCGGAATCGCTGGGGGTGATGCCCCTGGTCCCTGGAGAAGGAGGTGGGCCACGTCCCACACTGCTCTTTCTTCCTCCAGAACAGGGACAACTACATCCGCTCCTGCAAGCTGCTCCCCGATGGGCGCACGCTCATTGTGGGTGGGGAGGCCAGCACGCTCACCATCTGGGACCTGGCCTCTCCCACGCCCCGCATCAAGGCTGAGCTGACGTCCTCTGCCCCCGCCTGCTATGCCCTGGCCATCAGCCCCGATGCCAAAGTCTGCTTTTCCTGCTGTAGCGATGGGAACATCGCTGTGTGGGACCTGCACAACCAGACACTGGTCAGGTGAGGCCACGGGAGGGACCCTGTGCAAGTCAGCTGCCCTGTGTCTCAGTTTCCCCTGTGGGAGAGGGACATAGTGCAGTATCTTCCTCAGAATGAGACAGTGCAGTGGTAGCAGGGATGGCCCGGAGCCAGCTCTCGGCGTACCTTGGCCGTCTTTGTTCACCACATTACTGTTTGGCTTGTGTATGGCCTCAGCCCCTAGTCATGCTGGGTAATGAGGAGTCACAGAGTGTCCACCTAGGGAGGTTCCTTTTTTATGCGCCTGCTCCTGGGCAAGACCTCTTCAGTGGATGGCGGGGGCAGGGGGTGGGTGGCAGGCCTGGCTCTGCTGCGAGCTCACTAAGTGGTCAAGGGCATATGGTACCCCCTCCTGGGTCTCAGTTTCCTCTTCTGCTCAGAGTCTGTCAGCTTGGCATTCAGTGGTTCCCTGGGCTCATCCCTCCTCCCTGCTTGGCCTTCATAGGCAGTTCCAGGGCCACACAGATGGGGCCAGCTGCATAGACATCTCCCACGATGGCACCAAGCTGTGGACTGGGGGCCTGGATAACACCGTGCGCTCCTGGGATCTGCGGGAGGGCCGGCAGCTGCAGCAGCACGACTTCACCTCCCAGGTGAGAAGCCGAGGCTCTTCTTCACCCCCTGGCCCCAGAGCAGTGTATTTCCTCCTGGGACCCAGTGAGCTGCGTCGGGGGACCAAGGGACCCTTATAGGTGGTCATTGCTAATGGATTTGAGACCAACCTGAGCCATCTGTGAAGGCTTCCTGGAGGCGGTGGCAATGAAACAGAATCAACAAGTCTTTGGAATTGGACACACTTGACCCAACTGCTTAGATTTAATTCTTAGCTTCTCCACTGTTGAGCACTTTGGCCTCAGTTTCCTCATTTCTGAGGTGGGAATTTTAGTAGGTAGCTACAGTGTCTCCTAGGTCTGGTGTGAGCACCTGAAATGGCCCCTCGAAAAGCCTCAGCCATTACCCTGGCTCACAGGAAGCCTTCTGTAAACGCTAGGTAGTATGGGGTTTGTTTGTTTTTATTACTCGTTTTAACATTTTAGTCATATATACTTAATGTTTTAGTTTTTTATTGACTCATTTTTTTTCTTAAGGTAAGGAAAAAGTCACAGAAAGTAACTTTAAAAGATCTGTGCCACTGCGAGTCGGAATCCTGGCTCTCCTGCTTACTTTCTTGAGTCAGCAACCTCTCTGAGCCTCGGCCCCCTTACCTATAAAATGGGGGGGCACGGGGAAGTGGCATCCCATACTCCTGGGCTGTTGGGCCAAGGGAGAGGAGGGCTCGGCTTTGCAAAGGGCAGGTGATGAGGAAGGAGTGGTGGGACCTGGAGGGCAGAGGAGGCTGAGCTCGTCTCCCCCTTGCAGATCTTCTCACTGGGTTACTGCCCCACCGGAGAGTGGCTGGCCGTGGGCATGGAGAGCAGCAATGTGGAGGTGCTGCACCACACCAAGCCGGACAAGTACCAGCTGCACCTGCACGAGAGCTGCGTGCTCTCCCTCAAGTTTGCCTACTGCGGTGAGCCGGGGGAGCGCGGACCCTGGCAGCCTGGTCTGCCCTCTGTGTGCAGATGAAGGGCCCCAAGCTTACAGTAGGAGCAGAGCCTCCGGACCCTCATTGATGTCCCCGCAGCCTTATCCCTTGAATACAGATACTCCCACAGGGTACTGAGCTCTCTTGACACCAGGCCAGAACCAGTTGCTGCTAGCCTAGGGCAAGTGAACTGCAGACAACTTCTCTAGGTGGCTTCTTCAGGCAGTTAAGACTACAGGCTTTGGCTGAGAGCCCTGGATTGGACTGCCTGCTCCTCCACTGACTAACTGAAGCCTGGGACACATCTTATCTTCTCTGACTCTGATGGGTCTTACTCTGTAGCCTGGGAGTAGCACAGCGCCCACCACATGGCTTTGGGGAGCACAGTGCCTTAACATTGACAGCACCCGGGCAGAGTAAAGGCACCCGCTGACCACCATCATCAGGTTTGGTCTGCAGACTCAGGGCTTGCTTTGCCATTTTCCCACAATTCCTGCTATCTTCCAGTAGAAATAAGAAGGATCAGTCCGCTTTAGTGGCTTTAAAAAAAATGTTTTTGGAATGTGTAATTGCTGCAATTAAGTGTGAACCCTACCTTTTTCCATCTCAGCCCTGCCCACTTTTCCCCCTTGATTGCAGAGAAAGGTATTCTCTGGGTGTCCATGATGCTGTTATGTGTCTTGCTTATTACAAAGTGCCTCTTGAAAGCAAGAGAGTCAGCTAAGCACTGGTTAGCAGTTCACACTGCGTTTCCATGGCAGCTGGCCATGTCTGGAGTAGGTCTTACTTTAGAGGGCAGCAGGTCACAACCTGACCTTTCTTTGCCTCTCACCTGCAGGCAAGTGGTTTGTGAGCACTGGGAAAGATAACCTCCTCAACGCCTGGAGGACACCGTATGGAGCCAGCATATTCCAGGTACCGCCTGCCATCTGAGCACCTCTCTTGGTTTTGCCCAGAGTTGGGGCCGAGCCATGGTGATGGCTGTGGGGAGAGTGGGAGGCAAAGCAGGACCTGCTCTGGCCTTTCCAGCCCCTACCTGATGGTTCCGGTGTGGGCCTGCAGAAGCAAGAAGTAGGGCATATCAGCGGGACACAAGTCTGCTGCTAGTGGCATCTGACCTCTCAGGGCAAGGGCTTCTGTAGGGTTTCTAGACCCGACAGGAGTGAAAACATGCTCTTGGCTTTGGCCTGTACGCTGAGCACTCCCAGGACATGTGTTAGGCAGTGGAGCAGACAGGGCAGCTTTTTTCAGACAGTGCTACCCGATATTTGAGTAAGTTTGTATTTCATCGATATAAGGAGAGAGCTGAGGCAAGAGAAAAAGGGTCCAGAAGAGTTGGGAGAGAGAGGAGGCTTTTTATGATTTCTTTACGACCTGGGGCCTGACACCCAAGATCACGGTGGGCCCTGTCAGTGAGTTTCTCCTTGTGGAAAAGCCCACAGAAGGGGCGTTTATAACTGACGGTGCCTGCTGGGTTGTGTTCAGAGGCCACGATGTGTACGCTCCAGAGGGAGCTCTGGGCAGGGGCAGAGGGAGGGGCTTTAATTCAGAGCACTGAATTGGTGTGGAGTGAAAGTGACTCCTGTCTTTTTTTCTTCCTGCACCTTCCTGCCTCTCCTCCAGTCTAAGGAATCCTCGTCTGTCTTGAGCTGTGACATTTCAGCAGATGACAAATATATTGTAACAGGCTCTGGTGACAAGAAGGCCACAGTTTATGAGGTCATCTACTAAACAAGGACTGTAACAGGGCTGTCAGACTCTGGGAGAAAAAGACTCAGCTGTGACAAGGAGATCCTGGCGAGGGGTCCCGACGATGGCCAGACCCGCCAGCAGCCAGCATTCCGGGGCTGTGCTGCGGCGGGCTGGGAGGGCGCACCGCACGTCTGACTCTGCGCCGCATTGATGCGCCTCCCAGATTCCGATGGATTTCTCTCCAGTTCCCCTTCACCGTTCTGGCAGATGCTACTAATAGATTTATTTGGAGGCTCATGGCTCCAGCTCCCCACGGACACCTGACTCTCTGTCTTTCCGTCCCCTTTGTTTTGATCTGTCCACATGCCCTGGGCGGGGACACTGGAGAGGACCACATCTGTGCCAGGGGAGGGGGATCTTATTTTCCCTCTTGTGCAGCGCACAAGATCTGTGAAAAATGTAAATAACAGACTCCTATCTCGGACTGGGCAGCGGGGGAGGAGGCTCCTTCTCACCAGAAACGCTAGCCGTGTATTTCGCCTGCTGTATTTGTAATCCACTCGTGGTGGTGGTGTTTTTTTGTTTTTGTTTTTTGTTTTTTTTTTAAACAGAAATTCCTGCCGGGGAAGGGGCGTCAAGGGAGGGGGAGGAATGGGGAGAGAAATCTCGGGGTGGAGGAGGGGAGCTGCAGCTGGTAACCAGACTGACCAGTTGGGTCCCCTTGGGATGCGTGCGCCTCCACATGGCCTTGGGAATTGCCACAGGAAGGTCAGGACTGACACCGTGCCGACCACCAGACTTGAGCTGGGGGCCAGCCTGGGCCGAGCGCAGCAGAGAGGGTCAGAGTTGTCTGTGGACTCCTGCGCCCCGCCTGCCCCTTGCCCTCTGTCACCCTCTCTCAGGGCTCTGACTCTTGCTCACTTACTCTCCCCTCCTTGCCTCGGTCTCTCTTTGGTGCACACTTGGTTATGTTAAGAAATGGAGTTCCTCTGAACTCCCTCTTCGTTCCTTCTTAATCTGTGGACAAAACCTAAAAAGGACAGAAAGTTAGAGGAAAGCATAGCAACTCAGCTCAGGGAGCTACCAGAGAAAAATAGCAACTGATGTGGGTGCTTTTTTTTTTTTTTTTTTTAATTTGAATAAAGAATTAGAAATGATGTCCTTTTATAAAATGCCGTTTCCCCTTTCCTGCCTGTTATCCCTTCCTCCCCGCCTCCCCAGGGGAAAGCGTATTTAACCTGCAAGATGGGGTCTGAAAGGATTATCTCCCCCCACGGCACCCTGGCAGGGCAGCAGGGGCCGAGGACACGGGGCGGCGGGGGGGGCACCGGTATCCTGGGACGCTGTGGTGACTTCTTTCAGCTTTCGGTCTCTCTTTTTGAGCTCAAACAGGTTACAAGTAGAATATTGTTTCCTGCAGATACCATTTTTTGCTACCAATATGTTTTGAGGAGTTAGCATTTGGGGTTTTTGTTTGTTTTTTTTCTGGTCTTTTTTTTTTTCTTCTTTTAAGGAAAAGCTAAAGGCCGTTTGAGTCCTGGTGATAGGCTCTCCATGGATGTAGCATATGGAAGATAATTTTTATACTGCATTTTTATGGCTTGTTTTATAATGTGTGATTCTGTCTGGTGAGAAGGAAGGAGGGGCTCCATTGAAAACTGCCTGTATTCTATGATTGTGCTGTGCCAGCAGCCCCCTGCCCACGATGGGGAGGCCATGGAGACTGGCCAGGCGCTCTGTACCTTTCTGAGGCTGGGGAGAGGCTGGCTAGAGTCAGTCTCTCTCTCTCTCTCTCTCTCTCTCTCTCTCTCTCTCTCAGAGGTTCACCCACCACTGTCAAGGCTGAAGCCACAAGGGAGGGTGAGTGTAGAAGTTGATTCCTGAAGAAAAAAGAAAATGAAAAGTCATTGTAATGAGCTGTTTTTATATTTTTAAAAGTTACTATTTAAAGGTTGGCTTGATTGTTGCGTTTTAATTACCTCCCCTCAGTTTGTCAGAAGAGGATCTGGGCCTCTGTCACCTTCATGTCCTGGATCCTGGGTGATTGCCTTTGTCCCTGTAAACAGGAGTACTTCCCACGCTGCACCCCGCCCCTCATTGATTGTGCAGGATGGTGAAGGGGACTGTTTTCATTCTTCCCCGCCAGCCCCGGCTCCTGGCCAGTCTAAGCCACAGGGAATGGGGTGGGAGCTGTGATTTCCTCCAGGCAGCAGGGCAGGATGAAGTTCCCTAAGGGAAGGCTACAGTAGGTTAACAGTGAAGTCTTACACAGCTGTCAGTACAAAACTGGAAAAAAAATGTGAACTGCAAGTGAAATTGCAAAGTATCCACAAACTTCTGGATGCTGAAAACCTGGATTATTTTTTTTTTAAAGCTTAACAAATTTAGATGTTACAGTGGGGAGCGGGGGCAACCTCCCATCCCTAGGTCACTGAGGTAGGTGTGGAGGTGCATTTGGAGGCTTAGGAGAGATTGGCAGAAAGGGCAGAGGTGCAGGTCAGTGCCCCCAGGGCGCCAGGGCAGGACTGTACCCGGGCGAAGTCCTGGAACTGTGGGCTGAAGGTTTCCTACTCCTCACTGGGTCAAAGTCGTAAGTCACAAACAATTGGCTGCTGTCATTTCATACAAGAAAAATTTTTGTTAAGGAGGAATGACAGAATAAAGCACAGTTTTACATTCTAAGCCCAGAAAGGACAGCTGGCCTGCACACATGGTCATTTACCTGGAGAGGACATCCCTCAGGCTTATGGGGAGCCTTCAGCTGTGATTCAGCTTACAGCTCTGTCAGTTGTCTATTTTTTTTTTTTTTTTTCTTTATTGTTGACACTTACATATGTCCCCATTTTTCCCCTTTGTCCACCTTACCCCAGCCCCTCGCTTCCCTTTCCCTCTGGCCATCACCCCACAGTTGTCTGTGTCTGTGTGGGTGCGTATATGTTCTTCGACTTCTCCCTTCACCTTTCATCCAGTATTTCCACCTCCCAACAGCTGTCTCTCTGTTCCACGTATCCATGCCCCTGTTTCTATTTTGTTTATCAGTTTATTTTGTTCCTTAAGACTCCACAAGAAACCGAGATCATAAGGTATTTAGTAAAACGGCACCTCTTTGAGCCCTGCTTCTCATTTGTCCTGGCCCCTGCGTTGCCCAGAGGGTCCAACAGTAGGCTGTAGCCAGAAGATTCTGTGTGCCCAGGACTTGCCTTGGGGTGGCCCATCGGTGCCGTGGCAGGGTTGGAGTCGGAGCTTGCAGGACCCAGTGAGGGGAGGAGGAAAACCTCTATCGGTGAATACTTGTTCTGCTGAGAGTGAAGACCAGTATTATTCCCATTTCTGAGAAGGGGAGGGGTTCTCTGAAAGTGCTCTACCAAGGTTTCCTGGGCACAGTCTAGGATGGGGAGATGACCAAGAGTCAGCCCTGGCTATAGAAGCTCACAGTTGAGGGTGGGGAGAGACAACACAGCCACTTTATTTGACTTGTGCAAGTGGCATTGGGGACACGGCTTCGACTTCAGCTGCTGGCGCCTCGACTCCTGCCTGTTCTCACTGCCACTGTCCTCATAGGAGCTCCCCAGACCTTGACACTGATCCTCACACTGAGCATGCTGCCTTGTCCCCACCCACCACTCCTCCAAGGCTTTCCATTCAGCTTGTCAGAGACCCAGAATCTGTCAGTCCTGCAGAAGTGAATCTGTATTTTAGTGATTGATGGGGTGATTCTGCCACACTGAAAGCCTATGGGGAGGGGCCCACTCATGGAAGGCAATCCAGCGCAATCCTTAATGTGCCCAGGGCCCCTCCCCTATCTCGAATGGTGGGAGGCCTTGACACCATTCTTCTAGCCTTTCTAACTTATCCCCTAACCTGTTCCTTTCACTCAAAAACACTGGCTCGTACCAATTAGCCTTTGCACTGCATCTGTTTGCCTGTCTGCCCTGCTAGACTAGTTCCCTTGGAGGACAGCACCCAGGACTTCACAGGCTCTGGGCAGTCCTAGGGAAAGATGAAATTACCTTTCTAGTTCTCAGGTGAGCGGGGCATCCAGGGTCTCGGAGCTGAAGCCCAGGGAAGGGAAGTGACTGCAGTTCTTTGTGCTCTCTTGTGCTTGCTGCCTTTTCTCCAAGTAAGGAGGCGGATGAGACAGAGGGTGTAGATGTCAGAAGGCAGCTTTCATGGTTTTAGTTCACATCGGATTAGGTATAAGCGTCCAGGTTATTCTCAGCCATCTCTGCTGGCCTGTCTGTCACTGCCCATGCATCCCTGTTGCCCTCCCTTAGCCCCGACCCCAGCACAAGCAGTGACTGTCCTAACTTGTAGGGTCTACAGGAAGTTAATGGAGATACAAACCGAGGGATGCCAGAGTGGAGTGGTCTAGAGCAAGAATGCTAAATGTTGTGGACTGGTTATCCAATATCCCATGATGATGGAGTGTAAATTTTTTTTCAAGAGCATATTTGAAAATGAGTATTTTTAATATAAATTATTTGCCATGTTTTAATATAAAGCATAGCGAATAAATGCGATCAACCTTTTTTTAATTTGCATGGTTAGGTACCATTTGATTATTTTGCATGTGGTACTCTATTCTAGTACCCATGAAGCATTTTTAAACATTACCTAAAATTGGGCCTCTGAGATTTGAAGGGATGTCTCTACTGAGCCCCTGTTTTATACATGGGACAATTAAGACAGAAAAGGCAGGTGACTAAACCATGAGTCACATAGCCTGAGCTGAAATTACAAATCATACCTCTACTTCTCCTAAGCCCCTAGCATACTCGGGAGCAGGGGAGGGTAGGAGGGAGCTGCCCAGGGGCAGGACTGCACGGCGTTAGGAGGATTCGAATCCAGAGGATGAGGCCTCCTGCCCTCTCTCTGGCAGGACTGGTGAGGAAGTTCCTCCCAGAAGGGATATGGCCAAGAAAAGTCATGGAAGCCAGCCTCCTGTCTTGGGAAGGTCCTAGAACTCGCTGACCCATCTTGCCTATGCTTTCATCTGTCCAACCAGTCATCCGTCCATCCGTCACCTCTTCGTTTATCTGTCCATCTATCTAGCCATCTCACCCACTCATCCATCCAACCAACGTTCATGGGGTGAAAATCTAACGTGCCAGGCATGGGTCTAGGAGCTGGGATGCAAACATCAATGAGACACAATGCCTGCCTTCACAGAGCTCTCAGCCAGCTGGGAGAAACAGTCACATCAACTGGCAATTAATGACCACTCCATGAGATAAGTGGTACAAACCAGGAGGTGACCCAGCACACAGCTGAGACACTAGCCTGGGTGGGGAAAGCCTGAGCAAGGGTTCCTGGCAGGAGTGAGCTAAACAGACCTGAAGAATGAAGAGCTGCTGAGTCCAAGGGAGGTGGGGGACATGTTCTGGGCAGAAGGAACAGCATGTGCTAAGGCCTGGGTAAGATGGAAGAATGCTACCTTGTACCCCTCTCCAACCCCCCAGTCCATGTGGTTTTTGCTCTTTCCCTGCTCTAGCTCCAGTCCAGTTTGCTCAAGCCCCAGTTCCTGGTGCCTTTCCCTTGGCAGGTCTCCTCCTCAGTGCAGGAGCCAGGCTAGGATTCTGCACTGAGCAGGTTAGTGAAATTCAGGAGGGAGCTGGGC